CATTTGGTTTTCATCTTAATGAGTCACTTCAATATTTCAAATATACCTTTAACCCACTTGAGCACATAATAGCACAATTAGCACCAGCACCTCATAAAACCTAGCAATGTTCCCTCTGATGCTTAGTAAAGACTCTGACCGAGTGGCCAAAGACATCCCATTGCAATGCAGCATCTGATCCCTGGGGAGCACACAGAAGAGTCTTTAAAAACCACAAGATTTCTGTGAAATGCAAAGCTTTGAGCCATGAAGCTGCTGAGAAGCCCCACACTCCAGAGATAGATGTGCTCCCACCCAGTTAGAGGTCAAGGTAAGAGCACTTTGATGATTTTAAACCTCCCTGTGAAAGAATTTGTTTATTTTTCTTGCCTTCTGAAATCATATTAATGTATTTAAATAACCGTACTGGAAATGAAAATAAGCTCTCCGTGCTAACATGCACACATGATCCTTGGATGCTGATGCTCACCAGCTCTGAGTTAGAGCTGCTGCTTCTCCCAGCTCTGCAAGGCAGCTCTCTTTTTTCACTGCACCCTCAGACTTTTCTAAAACACAGACCTGCTGTCTACAGGTTTGTGCTGACACTAGTTTTATCCTGTGTTTGATAGGTTAAAGAAGTAATTCCTCTGATTTCTTTTGCCTATCATTCTCGCTTCACAGTGAAACAGAAAAATTGCTGCTATTGCTGTAATAATAATATTTATGTAAGAACTATACTTATGTGATGGATTTATGTGATATAATAGTTACAATTATGTGATGGACTTGGGGGATTTGATATTAATTTAAATTGAAAATATGCTGTTAAAATTTCTGTGTATTTTTAGTTGCTGTTATGAGTTGCCAGCTTGAATTTCTGGTTTATTTTAAACATGTACAGATACCTTGGCCAGCATAACCTGTCTCCTCCTTGGCACCCCTAAGACACTTCTTCCAGTGATGGGGGGTTTTTGTTGGCTCCGGTCCTCAGATTTCTAAAGATCCCTCTGACTTGAAGTTCTGTTGTTTAGCTGAGCCCCAATTTCCCATTGCTGCATGGTAGCTGTGGGTGCTGAGGAAAAAGCTGCTGTGCCAGAGTCTGACCAAGGATTTCACCTGCTTAAGCCAGACTTGTGTGGGCAGTATAAAGTGAGTTTGTTTTCTGAATAGATCTCAGTGATAAATCACGTGCTCACACTGAACCTGCCAAGTTCTTACTCAAGTGGTGCTCAAGCAGTGGCCTCAAGGTTCCAGAAAGATTAATGTTTTTATCTAGACCTATTTATATACCTAGATATACCTGTATCTATATCTAGTCAATATCTCTCTCTCATCCTCCATCTCCGTCTAATCTATACCTACACTTGTATCTATATGAAAAAAATTAAAACCCTGTCAGAATGCATGTGCTTTCTGGCATAGGGAAGCATACTGAGCTGGGGTGTCTGTAGGCAGTAATTTCTACCCACCTTTAGCATGAAATCTGAAGGAAAGAATAGCCCCCTCCCTGGAAACTCTGCTCCTCTCTCTCTCAGTCCTCATCTTCCTTCCAGCAGACTTGCACAGGAATAGAAATTTGTCCCCTCCAAATATTGCCATGACAACAAAGAAGAAATTTCACAAGCATTCCTACCATTCCTACCAAATCCTGAAACAGCAAAGGCAAAAGGTGGGGATAGCTGCATAAGATGTGTCTAGATAAGGCAAGCCTCAGGCATTCTATTTTCATGGTTTTTTTTAATTAAAGTATCATTGGTCCAAGGCACTTCCTGTGGCAGGGAGTTGAATCATTTTCCACAGAAGGCATGAGACAGAGGGCTGGTGATTGAAGTATTGGCACCCATCTGCAGAGTGTATTTAGCTGGCCAGAAACTATTTCAAATGAAACCACATTTGGCCATCACCAAAATTTGCAAAGAGAAGTCCCCTGGGAAATAATTAATCAGTCTTGGTAAATAAGTAAAGCCACGCTTATTGTCACGCTGAGCCTGCAGATGGAATATCAGGGCCCCAGGGTTACGCTGAAGCCTTTGAACTCTTCTGTGTCTCCGCAGCCCCTCACAGCCCTGATGCAGGACTGCTCTTCTGACCAGCACCTGCCCAGTGGGACCCCTGACCTCTGATGGCTTCCTGGAGGCTTTCCGTGCTCGCTGTGGCTGTGGTGTGGGGCTGGGTGCTAGCCTCCTCCTCCCCCAGCACAGGTAAAGCCTAGTATGCCCTTGTGTCACTGCTTGGTGTTCACTTGGGCCCTTGGGGGAGTTTGTCTTTCAGCCAGAGTTTTTCTTCTCTGTGTGTGCATTGCTGTGTGAGTGGCAGGTTTATAAACATGTAATCCATGGTTTAAATATCTTATGTGTTTAGTGGCTATTTTTCTGTTTGAAAGGAGAAAATATTGCCTTTGGTGCACAGCAAGTATATTTTTTTGATAGAGTTATTCAAATATAAACACTGATATAAATGCTTTTGAGCATGGTCCCAGACAGACAGACTGTGCTAGGTGTAAGAAACAGAAGGCTTATTTGTACTTGGAGAGTAACACTTCTAAGAGAATACTGCTCTGCAAGCTATCATTCATGGCAATGGCACTTCAAGCATCCTTTGGTTCCAACCCTTGAGCACCTCTTTGCTGCACTGCACCTGCTGGCTCTTTTGGCATCTGGCAGCTGGCATTTGCACCTTGAGAGATACTGGGCAGATCTGGCCCTCCCTGATGGAAGCAGTGCATGCTCAGCCATCAAGAAACTGCCTGTCCTGCTATCCAGCACTCACAGAAAGCTGCCACAACCCCCTGTCGGAATAAATCAGGCAAGGTTCCATTTTCTTCATGCGGGAAAAGCCAAATCTTTATTCACATGACTTATTTTACACAGTTTTCACAGACCTTATATGCAACATCTATTGGCTGGTAGTTTTCTTACTACCCTATTGATCAGAAGATGATTTGTACATACATACTAAGGTTCAGGTTGTTTACATTTTTCTTTTGTGGTTCTTATCAGATCTAATGTTTATGCAGGTGTACTTATTTTTCACCCAAGAATAGGTTGTTATGTTAGCAAACTATTCATACCAAGATTGTGTTCACATGGGAACTTGCAAAGTTAAAGCTGTACTTAGAAGAAATGACAGGCCAGCTGTCAATCCAGCATAGCAGGCCTGATTTTATGAGGCCTTTCTTTTACCTGTCTATGGCAACTTCCCTGCTGCCACGCTGAGCAAAGCCTACTGCTTTTGAAATGGGCTCCAGAAAATATGAGTGTCACCTCCACCTCTCTGACCAGCACAGGGAAGGGCAGATATGAAGGGGGTGGGTGTGTGTGTGGCGGGGGGGGGGACAGCTGGGGGACACCTGGCAGGCTTCTGTTTTTTCGCTGGCAAAATAGGTGGAAAATTGCAAACCCCACCTGCCTCTCAGAGGGTGTGGTGTGGACATAAGTGGTGGGGGACAGCTGGGGATAAGCAGGGGTTTGTCACCAAAGCAGTGATGCTGGTGGCAGTGCCCAGCAGCCAGAGGGGTGGCTGTGAGGGCTGTGGCTGTCACACAGCCCGACTGCATTAGCTGACTCACCATCACAAACATCAGGGCCAGAAGCTGTTAGTTTGTTTTTTTCCAAGAAACATCCAGAGCATCTTTCCTTCAAGACTGCATGAAGAAATAGAACATTTCTAGTCCTGTGTTCTGTATGAGTGATGTGGATTTAAGTGAGACTGGTAATGTATTATTGTGAAAATGAGAAACTGCAAGAGGCAGTGCTTACATTTAAAAATCAAATCCCAGAATGCAAGCAACATCCCAGAATGCAAGCAACATCCCAAAGAGAAGCTTTTCTGTTCCCTTTGAAATCCAGTCAAAATTTATTTTGCAAGAATTGCTGTTTACAATTACAATAGTTTTGAAAAAAATACTTCTGTTTTGCTCAAGCTCAAGATATAAATGAATTTCAGAGCATTCTCCTATCCAGATAGGAATTCCAGTTCTGACCAATCTAACCCTCTCTTGACAGCTTAACATGACAAAGGCTAGCAGCTTTTTGTTTCCTTCTTTGCATTTCTGTGAGGTTCAGCATTTATACAATCAGGAGGAGCCTCCCAAGCACTTGGTCCAGTATCATCTAAATACATCTAAATACATCTTCTACTTCATCATCTAATGTAATCATAAATCTCCCATGGAACTTCACATACTGGGAAAAGTGGGATTTTCTAACTGCTGTGTTTTACTTGGGAAAATTTCTGTAGAAGAAACAAATCCTCCAGCAATGTACCCTGCAAACTTTCCAGGGAGCACATTAAAGCTGGATTTGTGTCGCCATCTTCCACTGAAAAATATCCTTATGGTCTGCTTTCACAATTGATTTATTAAAAGAATACAAGAAAATAATGTTGTAAATCCTGATGAAGACATTAAAAAGGTGTTAGAGAAGCCAGTGATCTGAAGGCCAGATTCAAAGGGAGAATGGTGGTGACTGAAACTGCCAGGACATGGGCTCCAAATTCCTGTGAAACAAAGTGTATAATGCAATGAATATTTAGAAACCAAATAGATGATTTCACCTCTAGATAGTGGAAAAAAATGACCTTTGATGTTGACAAAAATTTACTTTGTTCCAGCTAATAAAACTGAGCAGCCATGGAGTTTGTCATGTGAATGACAACTCCATATAGAGCTACACTTCTAGGACACATTTTAGGATGGAATTCATCCATACTTCCTTATATATTAACACATACCAGCACCTTGAAATACTTTTATAAAAGCCAGATCAACTGTAAAGTCACATTTCTGTGTAGCTGATAGGTGTCTAAAATAAGAATTATTCTCTAATTCTCTGCTTTTTATCCTTTTTCCTGTTTTTTTCCCCCCAATAATTTTTAATACACTTGAAAGGAACATTTCAAGCAATATGCGTGATTTGTGTCTATTATCCCTGACAGCATGCTTTGATCTGTCATTTTGTGTTGGTGGATGTGCTGAACACAATGTTTCAAGAGATAAGTGTCCAGAAGGTTGGTAAATATCAGGGGTTGAAGGTAAGCCAATACAGGACATGAAAGGTCATCCCAGGACACTAGTTTTACTTAAAAAGTCTTGGAAAAGGGTGTGAAAATGTGGCATTCTGTGTGCTTTTTCAATGATCCTTGAGTGTTTTCTTTGCGCACCTGCAAAAACTGTTTTTTTGGGGCTGGGCAGGTGCAGAGCTTGTGCATGTTTGTTGAACAGTCAGGGCTGCAGCACTTCCCTCCACATCCAGCAGCTGAATTTCAACAATTCATATCAAAATATCACACTGACAAGTTTCATGACTGCTTTGGGTTTGTTTTCTTCACTCGGACATTCTGTTTCACCCTCTGCTCTGTTTTTAATGTAGTTGCTCCCCCACGAGACCTTTGGATCACTGACCCTGGGCTCCTGGGTTCTCTTGATGTCGAGTGGAAGCCTCCGCTCCACATCCAAACCTTCAAGAAGTGCACAGTAAAATACAATTTTGAATATCGCAACACTGGGGATAGAGACTGGAAGGTAAGGCAAAGCATGAAATAATCCTCCCAAACCAGGGTTATTGTTCTGCCTTTACTTCCTGCATAGATTTCTGTCAGCATTTCAAGCAGGAGTGGAACCAAAGCTGTTCCAGTTTTCCATGAGAAACCAGACTGTTTCAGTGGTTTGAATGGGAATGTGTTTGGAAATGTAACAGCAGCAGCAGGCAGTGAAGGGGTTCTTTCTGTCACAGGGCTGGGTGTTTGCTGCCCAAAATAATTCAATAGCATTCCTCATTGTATTCCTCATGTAAAAGGAATAAAAAAATTACACTTTTTAAAAGCATCTTTATGAGGCTTGAGCTGAAACAACAGATCCTTAGGGATGCAAAGCAGTGAACAAATAAAAGTTAGGTATCATTAATTATCCTAATGGTCTAAAATTCCCTCTATCCAGAACTGTGTTTCTAATTACCATTTACTTCTCTCTTTTAGATGTGATTGACTGTAACTCAGGTCTTTGATAAAATTGTCAGTTATCTCTCATTGATGTGTAGCAGGGCAGTAGCAGGCACAACACAGGAAGGGTTGTTGGAATATATTTTGTGAGTACTTAAAAAATGAAAACGGCTGCAGGGTTAGGAAGGTAAATGGAATGGGGAGAGGAGAAACCCAGCAGTGAGGGCTGTTTGGTTGGCACAAGATACTGAGGAACACATTAAAAATATGCTGAGGATCTCCCTCAACAACCTAAAATACAGATTGAAATCCTGAAAGAAAAATTGATTTTTTGCACAATCCTAAGGGAAGAGAGCTAGAGGGCTTGCCAGCTCAACAGACCAGGGAAAGAGAAGGAGCACTCAGGCTGGCAGTGCTGTGGAGCCTAGCTCCTTGCTGGCACAGGTCACCTGCTTGGGGCAGCAAAGCCAGGGCTGCCAGGCTGTGCTCAGCCACCACAAAAATGGGGTTAGGCCCAGGCACCCCATAGGAGCCTGCAGAGGGAAAAATCCTGTTTCAGCTATGGATTGCAATTGCAAGGGCATAGAAAGCGGCTCCTGGACCTGATGATGGTCATGATGCACCTCATGCTCCCAGATGTGCAGCAGTGTGCATCTGTGCAGATCCCTACAGGATGATTTTAACTGCAATTTAAAAGAAAAAACATGTGCAGTTAAAAAAAAAAAAATCAAAATTCTTGAAATCATGAGTAATAAAAATTTCTTATATGATATAGATGTACAGACTAGAGCAAACACCCTAGTGTTTTGACACCTTGCCAAAATGTTGACCTCAGATAAGGTCACAAAGAACAGTCAGGCTGAAAAAAATCCATTGGACATCAGCAGAAGAAGATCAATGACAACATCATTGATATCTGTTAGAAATACCTGGCTCACCACATCTCTCGCACCTGGGGAGTGCTGAGGACAGCCTGACTGTGAGCTGTACTATTGCTGTTCCCACTGCAGCACACAGATGCATTTTATGGCACAGATGCACTTTATGGCACATTACCTCTGTCCTACATGGGCTAACACAACACTTTGTTTCCTCATTTATTGTAAACCTTGTCAACTTCCTTGTCCTTACATATAGTGAAGGGGAGTAAGTCTGAGGAAAAAAAAAAATAGAAAAACCCTAAAAGGGGGTGCTCAGAAAGTCCCACAAAAGGCCAGGCCAGGTGGTACATAGTCGTGGGTAAGGCTGTGAAGCACTGCCTGGCTGCTGGTCCACCCTTTCAGGGGCTGCTTGTGCTTCCCACAGGAACCAGCTTTAAAAGACTCATTCTTTCTGTTTCTGATTATTTCACACCATTAAAAAAATGCCTTTTATGTGGATTTGTGGTGGTATCCGCCTCAGGCTGTCTACAGTGCCCCTTGCTGCTGGGGGTCCCATTAATCAGACTGTTCTGCCTTGTCCTGGCTGTGGCCTGTGGGTTGAAGCCAACAAAGCTGGGCACAGGAGCTGTAAATGAATGCTGGAGGAGTACTGGGCAAGTGAGGCAGGACAGATATGTAAAGAGACGATGAAGCATACAAATGAGACTATTTGCAGCTGGAGCAAGAGCAAAGATACCTAATTCTGCAGCCCACTTAGTGACAGAAGAGGTGCTTAAAAAGTCTGTCTTTCGATCAGGTTATTTTTACTAGGAAGCTAAAACTCAGAGTTGGATTTGACCTCAGCAGGACTGCTGAAGTGAGGCTGCAGACATTGCTCAAAGGACAGTGTACAGGTGATGTGGAGGTGCAGAGTGACTGGATTTATGCAACATTTCAGATCCCACCACAAGGTTAGGAGCAGCCTGTGGCACCTGCTGCAGTTTTGTGCTTTGCATGAGTCTGTTGCATGAACCAGTGCTGGCTTGAGAGTTCCTGGGTGGATACGTTATTGCAGGGCTTGCTGATGTTTAAGACATTAGAACAGCTCTGCTACCGAAGGCTGTGGTTACTGGACACTTCGGGTTTGTTTCCCTCTGCCCACACCCAAGCTCTGCTCAGCTGCCCTGCAGGACTCCATTGCTGAATGAAAAGGTCAGTTAAGTGTCTTTCTGCTCTAAGGTGGGCTGGCTTTTATAAGAAACAGAGCACTTGGCAGTAAAACTAATAATTCTGACTGGTTGGCTTTTCCTTGCCTTTTTCCTTTTTTTTCTTTCCATTTTTTATCTTTCAACTGAAGCACACAGTGGTTCAAATGCATAAAACTGGTTTTTGCTGCGTCTGACTGGTACACTGTTAAATAGTGATTATTTCCTTCTCACTTGACAGGAAAACTTGATTCAGAGGTCCAGAATTTCAGCTGCATCTATCATGACTGGGAATACCTGAAGTGCACCTGGCAGCCAGGTCTCCTCACACCTCATGGTGTACATTATGGGCTATATTATTGGTATGTAACAGAAAAATAGGAAATCATCCAGGCAGCAATCAAGTGAGCCACTCTGAGTACAAAATGCCACAGTAAATATGCTTTTATAGCTGGCAGTGCTATTGTCCAGTTCACCTAGAATGAGCCAAAATAATGTCTCAAGCAATACAGGGCTTCTGGCAAGAAAACACCAAAATGTTTCTTACTTTCTTAAAATCAGACCCATGCTGATCTTTGCCAGGAAATGTCTTCTGACTTCTTCCTTTCATTTTATTCATTCCCAGGAGGTGTTTTCTGCATGTTGTCCACCATAAACGCTTTGCTAAACATTCCTGGATAGCTCTGGCTGCACATTTCCCATTATCACAGCGCATATATCTCAATTGGACACGATTTAAGCACAAGGCTACCAAGCTCAGTGAACCCTAGACACAGAGTGGAGCTTCCCAGCAACTTAGAGGTTTAGTGTTCAAATATATTTTCATAGCCTTAGCACATGCCATACAAGCAAACATGCTTTAACAGGGTAATAAAAACACATAATTCTCAGCTGTTTCTTTTAAGCTGGTGCTAAATTCTGTTCTGCAGGAAAAACATAGCTAGAATGAGTGGTTTGGAACAAAGTAAATACTGTATTTGTTCTTCAGCTCCTATGATATTATGCAAAGGATGACTTAGGCTGGGTTTCGTGCCACTGGATTATGTGAAGACATGCATAGCTGCATTTTAAACAGGTTCCATGTAGTTCTTGGAAATAATCTTCAAAGCAGAAGCACCAGTTCAAAACCATTTTGCTAACTGCAAAGATCTGCTTAAAGGAAACCATGGAAATGCATGATTCATGCCTAAAAGGAAAAGAAACACTAAAAAAACCCAGCCTCGATTCAATTGCCTTCAATAAAACCAGGCATTTGGATCTGGGTCCCATTTTATCACAAGATTGGGTGGACACCACGGCATCCTTTGATCCCTGTGAGCAAATTTTTATAGTACTAGAACATGAAGTTTTTCCCCCAGACATAATGTGCTGTGCAAAGAGACTTTCATTAGGTCTGGAGTACAGGGACCAAATTCAGCCCTGTTGTGAGGGCATAAAGCAGCAGGAATCTTAAAAAGCAATATGAAACACCAGTCAATATTTCCAGGATGCAGTCAGCAGCTCAGTTTTGGGGAATGGCCCACAAAGGCAGAAGAGACAGGTTTGTGGCTGCACATTAAGTGACAAAGTGTAAACCCCTTCCTAGCAAACCCTGAGTTTCCATGTGCCCATGGAGAGCCATGGGAACTACCTGTAGTCAGCCAGAGCAGTTTAGCAGCACTCAGTACATTTGTGGCACACATCACCTGCCTAAAAACTTCATTTTGGTTTGGGAGGGGACCTTTCTGCAACTCCAGAGTCTGTGGCTGATGATGCAGGAAAGGGCCTAGGGGCGCATGACTGTCTCCATGAGTAGAGGCCAGATCCTTCCCCAGCTCCAGTCACGCAGTGGCACCTCTTGTGGTCCAGGAATGGGCTTGGGGAGAGCCTGGCACAGCCTAAAAAGCAACCTGAGAAGCTGTCTGTGCATGTTAATTTGGGTTTTTTCTCTTCTCCTCACTTTTACCATAGGAGGAGTCCAGTTGACTGACCCACAGCACTGTGCTTTGGACAAAGGCGGAATATGGGCAATATTTGAGGCTTATGTCCAATCTTATTAAAAATGTCTTACTAAGTAGTAATTTGTTCCGGTTACTTTTTTCTATTTCCCTGCCCACTGCTAGGTACGAGGGGCTGGAGCAGGTGGTGCAGTGTGATCACTACATCCAGGATCACGGCATAAATCTCGGCTGCGTGCTACACAACCTCAGCCAGGCAGAATACCAGGATCTGAACATTTGTGTCAATGGCTCAGCGGCAGCCAGTCTGCTACGGCCACTGTACACCACCCTTCACCTTCACAACCTTGGTAAGGAGGGCAGGGAAACAACAGGGGACCCTTGTGGTCACCACACACCCCAGGCCCACTTCCTGAATTAGGGGTCTCAATTCAATGTGTGCTTTTGTAACTGGGTGGTTGGAATGTGTGCTTTTCCCCCCAGGGAAGGGGCTGTGGCATGTGCCAAGCAGGACTTCAGTTTCTAGGAGTGTTTGCAGACAAACAACACCACCCAGCACAACCCTCGAGGTCAGTGGGTGCCTCCAAGTGCTCATTTGGCAGCTGGACAACTCAGGACATAAATGGCCTGCTGGGCATGTGGCAAAGCAGCTATGGGATTTTTGGCTCTAGCAGCACAGAGATATCTTGATTTACTCCTGCTGGAATTGAAACCATTGCTGCACTCCTTGCAAGCACAGGAGAGATCTTTGGGCTCTGCTGTTCAAACCAAGCTAAGGTCTGGGGTGAGCTGAGTACAAGGTGTGACGGAGGCTGTCAGAGATGGATTTCAAAACCGTGAGGGGAGAGAAAGGGAGCAGAGCACTACATGATTTGCAAACACTCGTACATGTACTCGGTGTGTGTTATGGTGTAATTTCATAAATGCACTTACCTTGCTGGTGCATTTGCCTACATGCCAGAAGGACAAATAGCCAGTTGTCCCACTGAGCCACCAGGCTCATGAGCAGGATTTCGGAATTCAGTTAGTGCTGCCACGTGGTTCGTGTGTGGCTCTGAGTATCGGACATAGATCAGAGCCTTCTCTGTGATGCAGAGTGTGAGGCCAGCAGAGTGTGCAGGGGCCGAGGCTGCCAGGGGAACGTGCCGGGCACAGCTCTTACACGGCCGTGCTTCTAAACCTGCGCCGCAGCCCACAGCAAGGACTCCGTCCTGCCTGTGTGTCAAGTTAAAATAAACAACATATCCTCCAGACTTGGTGACATCTTGCTCCTCCAGCATCGTGGCTGAAAGTCAGGAGCGCTCAGAAATCCCATCAGCAGGGAAAGGGGACAGAGGTGATTAACTACAGCCAGGAGCTCTCTGAGTGCACCTCCTGACCTTCTCTCTTTCCTTTCCCCTCCAGCAAAGCCCTCAGCCCCGGAGCAGCTGGTGGTTTCTGTGTCCCCAGCCGAGGAGCTGCGGGCGGCCTGGAGGCCCCCGGGCGGGCGGGTGCCGCCACACTGCCTGGAGTACGAGGTGCAGGTGGCAGAAGATGCGGGGCAGGCCGCGGCTGCCTGGGCGGTAGGGACAGCACTCAGGGTGTCCCAGGGAAGGGAAGGGGTCGGGCAGCTGTGGCCGAGCCGGCAGGAGGGGCACAGGCTGCAGCCGGGTGTGAGTCACCCTGGCGGGAATCGCTGACCGGCTGCTGCACCACACACGCTCCTCCTTAACCCCCTGACCTCCAGCAGCAGCTCTGCTTCAGCAGAAGCAGATCCTCAGCAGGAGTCGCCAAGCGAGCATTTCCTTGGACCTCCTGCCTGTTATCTCAGAAAACTGACAGCGAGGAAATTTAAAGGTTGCTGTGGTTTGTTTCCTTGAATAGGGTGGCATAACTTGGACCAATGAAACTATAATTCTAATCTCTCAAAAGGAGTGGCCTTGAATCGAACATACCTTTTATGTGTGGTGCTTTTTCCTTGTATATTATCCAGGTGCAGTTTGGAGGCAAAACTGAAAAGGGCTAATTAATCATAGGGGGCATCTATTTTTTAATTGCTGTATTCCACTCATGAGTCTACTTAATTAAAAGAAAGATTCCATAAATTAATTGGCATAAGTGGCAATATACATGACAACACATCCAGAAAATAATTTCAGTAGATTTGCCTTCATAGTCATCTTATTTGCATTAGCTTGCACAAAACTATTGTGAAATCATTTAAAACTGCCAAAAGATAATCCAAAGGTTTACAGAACCTGGACAATGTGCAGGAAAATCAGGCCACACCAGACAGATCCTGGTGGCGGCACGTAATTCTTTGATATATCTTTCTATTTTGTTTCTCAGTTTGTGTCGACCCAAATGGAAACCGCTGTAACCATTTCCAGAGCAAATCAAAGCCACATTTCATGTGTTCGTGTCAGGGGGAGAGCAAACATTTTTTGTGCAGACCAAGGCTTTTGGAGTGAATGGACACAGGATTGCTTCTCTGGTATGGTACTCAAAGTAAATGGTGTTTCTTTTATATGGTTTATAAAACCTGTTTGGGTGCAAGTGCTGATGGTTTCCCAGGGGATCTGCTGCCCAGGGACCTCTGCACTGGAGATGGGCTGCTGGCTTAGTTTCACCTTCAATCTGCTCCAGCACAACAATTCCTGCAGCTTTGCATCTGCAGTGCACTTAGCAGGTGAGCCCCAAAATATTAATGCTTCTGCAGCAGCATGGGGACAGCTGGGATGGAGGAGTGACTGCTGACCAAGAGAGGGCACAAGGTACTTCCAGTTTCTGGACAGGGCATCCTCCTGGCTGTCCTGCACCACAGATCAGCTCCTCTGAACCCTTAGGCTCTCTTGGGCTGTCTCTGCTGCAAGGTGCAGAAGGCAGGGGAGAAGCACTTAGCAGTGACTGTATCTATGTGCCAGAGATATAAAACCCTGAAGGAGGATGTGACCCCACCCAGTAACATATACCTGTAACAAACAAACAAACAAACAAAACTATGTAGGGTAACATGGACAAGATGACTTTGTGTCTGAGCCCAAGCTTCAGAGGAGGTAATATAACACATTCTAACATCTTATTTCCTGCTATTTATCTTTGCAGAGTCCAGAAAAGAGGACAAGGAGCTATTTATCCTCATTCCTGTCATCCTGAGTTTGTCAATTACCCTCATAATATTTATGTTGATTGGCCAGTGCAAGAAAAGGTAAGCACCAAGGTAGCCTATCCAAGCAATATGCTTTTTTTTTTGGTGTCTCTAACAATTTATAGCTACCATTGTAACTGAAACATCACATTAAATGTCTAAGGGCCAAGTATTAATAGATGCTCCAAGATTGGACACCAAACAATAGTTCATTTTCAGTAAACAACCTTTCTGAGTGTGTCTGTTTCTGATATGAAATGCCCCTACAGCAACCCATAAACTTACTGCAGAGACACAAATCCTGCTCATAAGAGCTCAGACTGCTTCTGTTAAATGCAGCAGTTACTCGCATGCACAGCAGCACAAATGAAGCTATTATCATGCCCCAAAATACTCAAGAGCAGATATTTGTCCTAGCTGTGTTAAAGCAGTACCATTTTAATGGGCTAAATCCTCATTCTTTTGGCAGTCACATCCCAGGTGTTTACTACGGTGGTGTGTTTTTCTTTCATTTAATATTAGTTTAATATCTGTTTCCCCCCCTCCAACCCCCCTTTCCCTGCCCCTTTCCCTGGAACCTTCCCTGTCATGTTAGTTCTGCCCTAAACTCCTCCCCTGCTATTCCCTTAGTGGTTACTGTTCCTACACCCCTCCTCCTGAGTTCTGTATAAAACCTCTGCTCCCGCCCCCGAGGGGGTCTTGGGGCTCATTGAATAAAACCATCCCGTTCACCCCCCAAGTCCCGTGTCGCCTTCGTCTGTCCCCGCGCGCCACGAACTGAGACTGCAGAGCTTGCAGGGGGAAGCGGCCGCCCGTTCTCTTCCCTCACCGCCCAGCACGGCACGGCTCGGAGTGCCGCGGCGAGAGGAGCACATGCCGCGCTACAACATATGGTAGCAGAGGATGGTTCCCTCCTTCGTCTTGTAAAAAAAACGGGCAAATTCGTGGGGGCGCCCGCCTCACAGAAGAAGAAGGAGGGAAGAGGAAAATCTACGGCCGTAAAAGCTCTGCCTGATGCTAAGAGGAGCTGAGCGCCGAGCGAAAAACTGACGCTCCGGGACCCTCTTTGTTCTCACCATCTTCCCGCCCGGAAGCAACCGCGCTGCATGGGCAGCCGGGCTGCAGAGCTTTTTGGCGGGCAGACTTACCCGAGGACATAGAGAGCGGTTTTGGCAGTGGCTCGGGGGAGCCTGAAGAAAGGCTGACCGAGAAGAGGTTCGTTCCTCGGTCAGCATCTGCAGCGAGACCACCGGAGGCTGATAGTGGCCGAAACCAAGGCTTCGGGGACGAGTCTTGGTTTAACGGGAACACCCAGGCTTCCGGAAGGGCCAAAACCGGGAAGGAACATCCCCAGTTTTCAGCGCGACTTTTCCATCGAGTCAAGGAGAAGATCCAAGCCATCTCCGTCCGAGCCTGCAAGGTAAGGTGGGCTATACGGGTGCGGGGTCGCCCCGACGGACAGCTGGGTTTGCCGCTTTTTTTTTTTCTCGCGTTTTAACCCCCGTCTGCACCCAGACTGGGGCTGTAGCCTTGCATGTCCCTGGCAAGCGGGTGGGTTTTCTTCTTCTGGGGGAAGTTAGCACTGAGTGCTATCCTTCGCCTAGTCTTCTGTGGGGACCTAGATTGGATCGCTTTTTCTTCTCCTCGAAAATGTTGTCTTCTCTATCCTCCCCTCCCCATTCTGGGCTGGACGGAGGGGGTAGAAAAGACACCAGTAGGGAACAGCTAAGAGGGCGACACGTTAGCTATAGGAGCGTTGTTAAAAGGGGCCCTTTACACCCACGCATTGCGCCGACATCCAGCTGCGTTAGGCCCCCCCCCCCTCCTATAAATTTCCCCTTTTTGCTTCTGTGAAGCTCCCTATGCCCCCATCCCCTCGGACTTTCCTAAAACCCTTTCCTATCCTCCCTTGGGGATTGCTGTGGCCGAGCTGCCCCAAGTGCCCTGCCGGACACTGCTCAAGCCAAGTGCAGTGTGCCCGGCACCCCCTCCCAAGATGGCGCTGGCCACGCCGCTCGGGACCCGCTTTCCCGCCTTGACCCTTCTTTTCCGCCCCTGGTTTCCCGCCAGTCCCATTTCTCTCCCAATAGCCCTGCACCGTCCCTGCACGAGGCTAGTCCCTGTTGGGGGAGGCGGGGTTGGATATTCCCCCATCCTTCTTCGGGCTCGTCCTCCGGGGGGAAGGTCGGGAGGGATCTTCTCCCGAGGAAATGGAGCCGAAACCCGGGACTGAGGATCCGTCATTTTGTCTTCCCCCTGAAATGGCGGCGCCCCGGTCCACCCCTTACTGATACCCCCTGTTAATCATGGCAATCACTAATTAAGTGATTGTCTGATTCCCCTATCCTATTCCTTAATGTACCCTACCCAATA